CATTACTGCAACGCCTGCCAATCTTGCATCGGGTCACAAAGCACTCAAGACCACTCATTCCAGTCGCGAATGCTCCCGCTACAGAGTCAACTCGCCCAGACGCGCTGGCCTGCGGTCACTCAAATGACCTCGGTCCAGCCAGTCACAGCAGTCCGAGCCAAGCATATGCAAAGCAATTTTTCAAACTAGCTACTGTATTCTTTAAGTATTTAAGAATCCAAAAAGTTTTGCCCCCTACCCTATGAGGAGAATTATAAAAAGCTCTGATAGCAGAGCATAAAACAAAATTCGCGAGGAAGGAGACACGATCATTGGAACACGAGCTATATCCGGATGACGTTTCGGATTCCTAATCGAAATTCGTACCTGAAAAACTTTATTATCAAGAGGATGCAGTGTAGTGATCGAGAGTTGGGCGTAGATTGTGACCGCTCTAATTAAATTAACGTCCAAGAGTCGGTGGAAAGCGAGTGAGAGTAATTCCATTACGTGACATGAGACACCTGACAGTTCGACAGTCGCGGTCGGTGGTGTCCGCCGGCAGGCGCGAGCGCAGGGCCGGTGCTGACATTCGAGGAACATCTGAATGCGGTCTTCCCGGACATACAATTTACGATGGAGAAGGAAGCGAACAACCAGATGGCCTTCCTGGATGTCCTCGTATGCCGCAAGGATTTTGGTGGACTAAAGACCAAAGTGTTCAGGAAAGCGACAAATACGATGCAAGTACTGAACTTCAACAGCAACCACCCAATCAGCCGCAGACGCAGTTGTGTAAGTACACTCTATCGGCTTGTCGAAACGCACTGCGGTGAGCCGGAAGACAAGATTACCGAACTACAATACCTCCGACGGGTCTTCAAAGCCAATGGCTACCCGCGCAACTTTGTTAACCGGTGCATACGCAAAATGGACGAAAGGCTTAACCGCACGGACACCAAAGTTTGGCGAGCGTTTCCATATGTCAAGAACGTTTCGGAAGCAGTTGGCCGCCTTCTCGCACCACTTGGGGTTGGAGTGGCACACAGATCGGAGGCAATCATCAGGCGTCAGTTAATGAAATCGAAAGACCCACTGCCACGGCTAGAAACGTCTGGAGTCGTTTATCGGATCTGGTGCAGTTGCGGACAAAAGCAACTACGTCGGAGAAACCGGAAGACAGCTCTGAACGCGAATGGCCGAACACGCTTTAGCGGTGCGGAGAAATGACGCTACTTCTCAAGCTGCGGCTCATTCGACGGGTTCCGGCCACACATTCAAATTCGACGAGGCCAAAATTCTCGCAAGAGGTGACAACCGCGTGAGCCGGGAACTGCTTGAGTCATGGTTTACTGGCCCCCAGTCTATTAACAAGTGCACTGACCTTCCCATTCAATACTCCGTGCTGAGACTTCGCCTAGGCGGAGTAATTGGCCACGCGGGGAGCGCACAGGTGAACACTCTTCCCAACACCCGGGTCAGCGCGTCAGATGGTCGAGCAATCATCACACTAACATCCAACGCACGTGATGAAATTGCAGCAACTAACGACGCGAATGTCGGCCATCACGCCACGGGCAAAGATCTCTGATGAGGGTGGGGGAAGCCGTGAATATTCATAGGTATGCGGTAGCATGGTTACTGCATCCTATAAATACTGCAGCCGCATATGCATGAACCACCCTTTTCTGCTTATGTCTCTGATGATGGATTAGAGCAGGAATTTGAAACGTCAGGCTAATAAAGCTCTTGTCCCGACGATCGTATCTTCTTCTTCTTCTTCTTCTTCTTCTTCTTCTTCTTCTTCTTCAAGCGTGAATGAGTTTATAACTGAGAAGACCTTCGTGGCATCCACCGCGCTCTCTCTTCCCACCCTCTGATGATGGCACCATCAAGACGACGAGAGGTGCGTTTATCGACTGACAAAGCCAAACAGTCCGTCCCGGAGCGACACACACACACAAGATATCTAATATGACGTACTCCCGTACAGATAGCGCAGAATAGAGATCGCTGAACAAATAAACTCGAGTGTCAATTACTGGTTGGGGTTGCAGTATGACGGTGTGACGACGAAAGCCAAAAAACATGCCCACCGCGGTCTTTCTTGACTTTCCTGACATCACTTCTCAGCCAGTGAGTGGTCGTGGCTGTGCGATCGTACAGTAGGGCTCTAGATCCCCAGCGTTTAAGGCAAAACGGAAGGTTTGCATCCAATTCTACAAGGCGAGCAGATCGGTGAGTCCTATCCGTTCGGGGCCCTTGGCTCCGGTGATTTTGCGCATGACTAGAATGCTCATTGAGCGGCTGGGATTATTGAATGCCCGACTGAATTTGCCTTTGTAATCTCTCTTGTCTTCTTGACTATACTTCTGTCTTCCTAACGAAAGAGTCCCCAGATCGAAGCCCTTTAGAAAAACAAAACCACGTATTCCCCCCCCCCTACAAGAGGGTGCATCATTAAACATCCGTTGCAGGCTTCTTTGAAGCCACAAAAGAACCGCACGTCCGGAGGACTTTCTCTTCCAGCCTTCGTCCGCACGCCCCGGGTATTAGCAAGCAGTCCCGGCTGATTCACCCTCTTCCAAAAATCGCCCTTTCAAGGCAGCGCAGCGCGCATGAGTCATTCATAGCCTCCCACCTCGGGCCCATGGTCCCGACCCCTGTAGATCTTGCGCCCGGCTGAATAAATAAAAGTGAGTTTGGTTGAAAACCAGAGCAGACGCTCACACACACAGAGACAGGGGTGATTCTGAGGTGTGCGGTCGCAACCAGCCAGTCATCCCTGCCTGGTCTCAGTGAGTTGTCGCTAGCCCACCCTGACCACAGTTTAGGCAAAGGAGGAAGACACCGCGCACCGCTTCCGCCATACCTTCCTTGAAAGCCAGCGCGTGCATACATGCGTTCGTGTTGTTATGTGCGTGGGTATGTGTGTGTGTGTGTGTGTGTGTGTGTGTGTGCGTGTGTGTGTGGTCCTTGATCCTTTTTTCGACCTTCGTGGCCAGAAGAAAGAGATGGTGCCTGAAATCTGCTAATTGTCGAACTTTAGGACTCTCGCAGTGTGCTTGTGTGCCTGCTTCAGTTGGCAGATGCCTAATTAGTTCTCTATTGCCGGTTGGGTCAATAACCAGCAGAGATTTGATTGAAGTGAATTTGTACCACGGCCAGCAAGGAGATCCTTTCGATCACAGATGCTCAGTTGACTATACAGCTTACGATTTTCGACTTATATATAAAACAAGCATACAACGCAAGTACGGTTTTTTGCTGTCTATATATATATATAGGCAGAATGGTATTACCGACAAAGACAAGGAAGACTGGAATGACCATTTCTGGCTTATTAGCCGTCGTCAGCCAGCCATGCCCAAGCCCAAAGTGTGGAACACCCGAGCCTCGAACTCGCGACCTGTTGGTTTAGAAGTCCACGCCTCTACCCACCGGGCCACGAGCCCGTTGCCCTGTCGGTTTTCGATCGGGAATATACAATGGTAGGGGGGCGCTCACCGATCGTTCATACGGAACTCACTCGTTCCGTTGTGCCATTACAGTCTCCCTTTTCTTTGTCGGTAATACTATTCTGCCTATATATCATGCGCCGCTGTGCGGCTGCTGGTTGGGCTCGAGAGAGAGCCCTTAAGCCACAACGGAACGAGTGAATTCCTTATGAACGACCAGTGAGCGCCCCCTACCATTATATATATATATGTGTGTGTGAGATTGTACCGTCAAAGACAAGGGAGACCGGAATGGCCATTTCTGGTTTATTAGCCGTCATTAGCCAGTAATGCCCAATCCCAAGGTTGGATCACTCGAGATTCGAACCCGGGATCTTTGGTCATGGATCGGTGAGAAACGATGTGTCATTATACATACATATATATGCATTTCGAAGGAAATAAGTCTTTCGGGAAAGAGACAAAATTTATTTTGTAAAGTTTCGACTCTGGCTCCCCAAGCCGATTTCATACGTGAAGGAAATACGTACAACATTTAGAATTTAAACATGCCAGTCAGCCTTTTCTGTGGGTTGACATCACGTTCTGGCTGGCCGTCATCACTTGCATTTTTCTTTGAGATTGTTGTACACGGCGATTAAGTGGATTCACAGATTGATGCATAGGTTGTCGGGACGCATGACCTCCAGAAAATCCTGGACTTTTTCGATGAACAGACACCTATAGTGTGAGTATTGTTCCGGGCAAATTTGCGTCCAGTTTCCAATGTATGCATGACAAATTCGAAAAAAGTGGTCTCGTTTTTATACCGCCAGTTGATGTTCGTGCATGCGTGCCGCGGCAGGTTTTCCCGTTTGAACATAGTAAACTGCATTGCAGTGTGTCGTACGGTATCTCATAGACGACTTCTGTAAGATGTGGTTATGTTGCCCCACCTGATGGACACAGTACTGTGGAGGTTGGCGTTAGGGGGTTCCGATTGGGGGTTATGATCAGAGGTTAGGGTTAGGGGTTAGGACAACAATTTCCCAACCACTCAAAGTACAACCGCGAATCCCCAATAGCTTCTCTTTTGCATAAAACTACTTGACCTCGTCGCCTGTGCGTTCCCCGGCCCCACCTGCAAAAATCCATATTACCAACGATCCCGTATTACAGGTGACTGGGGTTTATCTACTTCAGGTGGGGCTACACAACCACATCTGACCGGACTGCCAGCTCCCCCAGAAACGCGAAACATGCTGAATTTACTCGCGCTTCTCAGATAGCATTTTAGGTTTTCCTTCTGGTATCGAGGGGCCCAAGGGTTTGGGGCTGGCATGACAAAAAACAAACAGCGGCAGGGGCTCCCATTATTAAGCGTTGTCCTGTTTACCACCGTGACAGCGTTCGATGCCCACCCGCCAGTTGGTGCCAAACAAAAATTATTGGAATCCAGATAGTACTTATTACTGGTAACCATAACACTGACATGAGTAGAAATAACAAATGAACTGCCTCCCCCCCTCCCCCCGGCAGAAGGTAGAATCAGGGTTAAAGAATGCCACTCGACACGAGGGGTGAATGCTGCTGCTGCTGCTGTTGCTGCAGCCGACATCAGCATCAAAGGTGCCGCCCGGTAAATTGCAGTCGACGTTTCTGCAGTCTGAGGGCGTCACGCGCGCGCGCACCGTGCACGACGCATTTGTTTCCGCCGCTCACAGCGGCGGCGGCGCCGCCGCCACTGCGATCATGTGCGTGCGGACACTCGTTCGCGCTCGAACGAGTTCGCCTACGCGTACTTTGACTTGACGCATCCGCACACACGCGCGGCATTTGGGAGACTCGATAAGCAGGTAGAGGGACGCGGGAGAGCGGGGGGGGGGAGAGGCCGGCCGAAGCAATGGCCAGCACATTTATCTAGAACGGATCAGAGAGGCCGCCGGTACTGGCCTCTTCTTCCGCTAGCTCCTCCTCCTCCTCGTCATGGTCGGGCCGAGCCCTCAAAGAGGAAGAGGACCTGTGAGTGACGACTAATCACGCAGGTCCAGTGACGTGCGTTCCTCGGCGGCGGCGGCGGCGGCCATGCCATGGCCTCGGCTGCGTGTTCGGTCCGTTAGGCCCTTCAACACACACACACGCATGCGCGCTGCGAAACGACGCCGTGGCTTGCAATAAAGGCCAAACGCCACATTACTCTCCCTCTGTCGGGCTCCGCGTGCTCGACTTCGCTGTGATTCGCTTTAATACGCGCCGCAACCGGCTCCTTTGTCGATCATTTCCCTTCGTTAGGGGCTAAGGGAAAGTCCCCTCGGAGTCTGATATTTCCACAGTCCAGCAGCCTGCGGCCATAAAACCCCCATCTTCGCAGTGGATCGACCTGACTGGAGAAACAGGATGTCGAAGTCGATCGCAGCGGTCATTAGCCACACTTTAGAAGGAGGAAGAAGCATGTGGAGGAAGTGTGGTTTCGAATAGTTGGGTATTGTCCTGATCGACTTTCATGATTTTGCTGCCTTGACTGTTTGTCTTCCGACTAGCGCGATAACAAAAGTGATGAACGGCCTGCGCGTTTGATACTCTCGCCAGATGAGGATCGTGCAGCCCAGGGGATGGCCGTTTGACCCGACGGTCCGTTGACCACCTCGTCACGTGCAAGGTCACTTAGCTCTTCTCTGGCTGATCTCATGTCATAATCTTTGGTCAGAAACGCTAATAGCCGTATTGAGTCGTCTAACCCAAACCCTCTTCGTGGTTGTCTTACCTTAACCCCCATAGCAGTGATGGCGTAAGACCCGGAAAACGAGTGGGAGATCGATAGATCGGTTGACTGAACCGGCCTTTAAGAATTGCGTTCCGAATGAAAGTCCTTAGGTCTTGAAGATATTTTGATCTAAAATAGTTTCGTCTTGGAAGTGCATTGCGAACTGAGATGTGTGCTTCAGTTTCCTCCTGAACAAGTCAAGAAGTCTGACTAATCCCGAAAGCGGATGGTGACGCGTGTTGTCTGGGAATTCACAAGTTAGGATTCTTGTAATCACATTCGAAAATAGACAAGCATTTTTAAAATCTGACTGTAAATTAACGAACTCGGCCCTCCCTGTGATTTCGCCAGAGCTGCCGTATATCGTGCTGCAAGTCAAACTTTTGTGTTTGAACTTTCACTTACAAGACGCGATCCCTGACAGTTTGTCCTGTATAGCGAGTGAGCTGAGGCGTCGACTGGTAAGCCGCTGTGTTTGGTTATAATCGAGGAAACGTAAAGATCTCGACTAATAGTTCAGTACGCTTCCAGATGAAGTGCAGAAATTCTGCGATGAATAGTCACGTTTTTACCCTGGGGCACAATGCGAGGAGTACGTTCCCTAGGACGTTCGGTGGACGCACTTTCGACATAAGTTGATAGCCCCGATCGCCACAGACTGAGCAAGGGACCCATGGCTTAGGAGCGGCGTGTTGAGCTTAATAACGCTGAATGAACAAAAGACGAGGGTTCAGAGCTCAGGTCCCGAAGATTTATGCTTCGATAAGGTTGGCTGATGACGGCTAATAAGTGAGAAATAACACCCTCATCTCTCTCTCTTCCTCTTTGGAAATATAATGAGAGATTTAAGGTCCCCAAATGACTGTATACTGAGTATACTGCCAATTCGGTTGATGGTTAACCTCTCAAAAATCAGACTAATATCCGGTTTTCGAAGAATGGCTTGGATCACGGTACTGTATAGTCGTTAGAAAGTGGTCTCCTACTTAACAGTCAGAAGGCAGTCCAGTGTGTGTTTTAACTGCGATCCTCTTCCATTTCTGAATCTTTGAACATTCTTTCCAGCGAGGGATCCTCATTCCGCTATCTTGATGTTACCTCGACCTCAAATTTCTCATTCTTCCTTTATCTTGAAATTCCTTTTCGTTATAATTCGTAAACTCATTCGGTACAGTCATCGTGCAAGTTCTTAGCACACACCTCAATCAGGAGATTTAAAGATGCCCGCATTCACCCTTTAAATGCTTATTGCTCTGAGGTTATTTTCCTGTTCTACTTAAAAAAGAGATGTTGATCTTAAGACGAGTCTTTCGAATGCTCTCTTATGCTAATAATACGATGTAGTTCAGAAACGATCAAGCAGTTCGCTGATCGGCTTCCGGATGCTGTTATCCTTCTCTTCACTCTGTTCTAATTGATGCGAGGTCCTCCCACCCAATGCGGTGAGGCTTCCGACGGATCTCTTGCCATACGCCGGCGTATCAGCACTCTGTATGGCCATTTCTGGCAGGATACCTTATGTGTAAAGAAAGCAAAATGCGGAAACTGAGACTTGAACCATCTTGTAATAGACATTCGGTCTTATGCAAACTTAATTACCCTCTCGTCATTTGTAAATTAATATCCTGTCCAAAATGAATGAAGCCATTATTGCTGAAAATTTTGAATAATACTTTTAGGATAAAGCGTATTCCTCTCTAACCCCTGTCTATTTTTCAAAAGCACTAAGGGAGTGGAGTCTGTGGGAATCAGAAGTTTTTATAAAAATACACCAAATAAGATTGCCTGTCGTTTTCTTCCTTTAGATTGGCCGTTCCAGCCCACCGGTAAAAACTCGACGTCGCAGTTATTTGGTCTATATCTCGTTTCATTGAACTACAATCGACGGTTTCTCGGTCGGCAGCTCTTCACCTCTCAGCGAATACCACTCGAAACCAAAAGTCTTAGGCATTTGAGGAAGATGTAATTTACCACAGTAGTATGTAACTCTACGGGGACAGTTGACTTGTCGCAACCCGAACGCAGTCAGAGTAGGCTGCAACCTCCGCATTGGTAGGCCAGATTTACAGCCTCTAAAGCCACGGCTAGGAGACCAGAATTTGTGCTGAAAAAGGCAGACACACTGGAGTGCTAGCTTCTGGTCAGTGGGACCCCATACCCAGGTCATAGAACTTCAAGACGAGGTGGAAATGTCCTTTCTGTCCTGCAGTCAGGTTAGGTGGGCGCAAGGTGTATCCTGTTGTTAGAAATTATCGGTTTTTAAGATGGGACTTGTGACGACAGAAGACGTTATAAGTGGATTAGTCTTTTAAATAGGAAACTGAAATCCGATCCCAGATTATTTGGTCACCGGGCGTTTTCAAGTTCAGTGTTCTACCGTTGAGCCACGGGTTAGTTGTCCCGTCGGCTTTGATTAGGACTATTAACCGTCGTGGGATGGGCGTTCGCCGATCAGGTTACGGGACGTGTTCGTCCCATTGAGTCGTCGGCACAGTCTGGAGTCCTCTCAGGCAGTCGATAGTTCGAATGTCGTTGCCGACGATGCCCACCGCGTGCTTCACAACAAGGTGATAGCAGGCACGGTGACTTGCGATTGATTCAATTTATAGTAAGCATAGACTTGCGCAGCATCTACCACACTCCTTCCTCTCCCCGTCCCCCATCTGGACCCGATGTCAAGACATAGTCAAGAAGACCGGAGACAGGGATGGCGCGGGTGGATGGCACGGTCGAGCCTGCACCTTGGCGTTTCACTCCGCCAGAAAGGAATACAGACAGAGGCACGGTCTTTGTCGACAAGGTAATTCTGCCTATGTTACTAGCTACTGTGTTGCTACTGGCGGAGTTCGAGATTTAATCACGCGACACAACGGGACGAGTTTGTCCCCTGGCTTGATCGGTGATCTCCTCCCTCTACCACTGTTAATATAGCCGATCGCAATTGACACGACAAGGAGCCCGTGGCTTAATGGTGAGAGTCATGGACTTCTGACCGACAGATCGCAGGATCAAGCCTCGGAGGTTGCAATACTTGGGATTGGGTAGGGCGGGCTAATGATTGTAAGTAAACCCCAAACGGCCGTCTCAGTTTCCCTAGTCCTCTCCGGCACTCCTTCTGGTGTTATTATCGCTGTCCATGCGATTCTCTGCGAGAATACTGGATTGAGCCCCAAGGCCCGAAGAGGCGAGCCCTTCTCCCTTAACCTGATCGAAGAGCGTGTTTATTTCTCATGCTTCTTTGGTAGAAAATCGCGTCCTCTCCAAATGTTATACTTAATGGAAGGTTATACTTAGGTTTAAGAAAATGCCCAATTCCCGAATAATTTTGAGGCCGGTCTGCCGTTTCACTTGCATTTAGGGTTTTCAACCCATCAGGTATGTACCTTTCGTGTAAAGATAATCACGTATTTGTCCATGCTATTAAGTTGAGACCAGATGGAGCTCATAAAAGTTTACGGCGGGGGTGGACTTTGTTGTGTACCTCATCAGTAACCGATAACGTTAGTATTTGAATGGACATTGCACAGTCTCAAAAAATCTCGTAATTAGGAGCTTTTTACAAAGAAGACGTGATCTTCTAACAAATGAACCCAAAATATCTTTGTGGATGTTTTCTACAAAATGTATTAGAATTTATGGGAGCATCGAGGGTCAGCAGCAAAAATGCATACTAACCAAGTAGTCACTTTTTACTGAGTGCAGTTTGTTAGGCGGCCGAAAAGGAGTGCATTCAAAAGTCAACATCCTGTTGTGTCCGAAAGATCATAGGATTGTGTCGTAAGACAGCCAATCTTATAACCCTTTTAATTAATCCTTCCTAACAGAAAGACGCACGTTAGAATTTCGGCCAACATTTTACGTGACCAGTTACCGTCGGTGTAAGTCCTTGTTATTTCGACGCAGATAACTGGAAAGAGGGTGAACGGAGCCTCGTATGTTCATCAGGATGGCACTCTTTGGAAATTTTTCCTTCTGGAAACATCGCAGGATTTCGGCAAGTGTTCCAGGAGGTTCGGTGCACACTGGATCCCCGATGAAACAGCACGCTTTCCCAGTCACTAGACGACTCAGAAGGTCGTTAAAGAGAACTCAGCAGGTTCTGAGATTGTTTTCCACGCCCTGGAGAGACCATTGTATGAGATAACAGCTACCACATACTATAGTCGTATAAAGCAGTATTTCCAGATTGTTTGACAGTCTCTTTCCCGTTCACACTACCACGACGCGAAGGCTGAAGCCAGTTACTTCAGGAGAAACTCAGAATCCTAGGACAGCCTCTCGGATTGACAGCGCAAACGCACACGCTGATAGCAGCCTTACTTCCTAGACGGAGTATGTTTGCTCCGCTTACTCCAACCACTCAGATTCGAAAGTTACAGGCGGTCACTTGGCTACAAGGGGGTGAATAGCAGATCACGTTCTATCCAGCGTGAGGTAGAATGGGCCAAGGTGATGGGCCGAATCTTATTTTATACCCGTACCTGCAGTAGACAAGCTCTAGCCCAACCCTAACCCCTAACAGGTACGGCTACCAAATAAGATCTTACCAAGTGATGGATCCCGTCAGCAACTGACTGGGCTGAGAGGTCTACGAGGGAAGACCCGCAAACTATAATGCCCGGTCTAATAAAATTGCTTTGTGAGGTATTTCTGCGTGGGTGACAATTTAATGAGAATTGCTCGTTTCTGTGGATTTGTGCCTATCTCGGTGGACCAGTCTACGGTCTCAGTTCGCCGACTGCGATATCTGCGAAGGTATAACCGGCAGGGCCCAGGTAGAAATCTTTTATGTGTCCCCTTCTACAGGACAGGAACGCCTTTGTCCGTTAATGCAGGTGGCCTTGACCCAAATTCCAGGAAGGGCACCTATTCCCACGCCTTTTCTGTCTTTTTATGAGGGCCGATCATTCAGGGAGGTAGCGACGAACTGGACGTCGGGTACTTCAGTGGAGGGGCAGTAGGTCCCATTCCGCGACTGCTTTGTTGTCGGCGCCTAACTGGTCTGTTGCAAATGCGGTCTACCTTGCGCGCGAATCAGATTATAATGGGACAGACTTGCGACGCATCTACCACACTCCCTCTTCTCCTTGTTCCGGGAGCATAGCAATGTCAAGAAAACCGGGGGTTGGCTCGGGAACAGCAGCTTTCACGGGAGTGATTCAAGTTTCACATGCTTGAGCGCGTCATTAGGTCACAATGAGAAGGTGTCATTGCAACCTGACTCTCGGAACTGGGACCGACCGAGATGCCTCGTCGGCCAGATGTGGTTACGTAGCCCCACCTGAAGTAAATAAACCCCAGCCACCTGTAATACGGGACCGGTGGTAATAGGGGTCTTTACGGGTGGGGCCGGGGAACACAGAGGCGACGAGGTCAAGTACTCGTACGCAAAAGAAGAGCTATTGGGAATGCGCGGTTGTACTTTGAGTGGTTGAGAAATAGTCGTCTTAACTCTAACTCTAACCCCTAACCCCAACCCCAACCCACAACCCCCAATCCTAACCCCTGTGTCCATCAGGTTGACATGCGCGCGATTTAGGTTATAGTGGTAGTAGACTTGCACAACGTCTACCGCACTCTTTTTCCCTCGCCCATCTGGATCCGGTGTCAGGACCAGGTCAAGAAGACCGGGGGAGGGAGAGGTCGGGAGGCGAAAACCCGCACCTGGTTGTATCACCGCATCCCCCCTGGTCCACAGCGTACACAGACTAGAATTTTTCACATCACGAAAAGTGTGGAGATGACAGGGGTCTCATCTGATCCGGCGTTAGCCGACCAACGCGGCCCGAGTGTTGGCATTTACTAAGGATGTGCATTCCCGATACGGCCTGCCAGAATCCGATGCAGCCCACGTCTTGATCCAGCACGTCTACCACGCGGTCAGTTATAGGGGTAGTATTAAAAATCACGTCATGATAGATACAAGCACATCAGACATAGTGGGGAATGCGTTGGTGCGCTGTGAGGATGGATTCCTCAGTGACGGCTTCTCTCTCTCTCTCTCATGTTCCAGTTAACTCTCCGAACCTATCAACAATCTAGTGATGAAATTGAGTACAGCGACCGACGCGTCGTTTAGGCCCCCGTCTAAGGCGCGTCGCTCGCCTGTACGTCAGTATTGGTATACGTGCGCGCACTCTGTCCCGCCAGGTAAAGGCGTGCCGCAAGTTAATCTGACTCCTGGTTTGGTCGAGGGCATCTGAATAGTACTTCGTCATATGTGTCGTATGCGCCCTGCACAAAGTCCCCTATGGCTTATTTGGGACGGCCGCTAAAGCCTGTCTTTAAAGCGTTGTTTTCCTAATCCCTTATTTTTACATGTCCTGACGGCCTCTAACTTGGATATCTCGGTGCTTTGGGGGAAGGCTTCACGGCGGACCGTCTCACCAACCAGTGGGGTGACCAGGATTTATCCTGCAGGTTGTCAGTCCTGGTCAAGTCTTCCGTAGGCTTTTACCGAAAGCCCTGATGCCCCACTGTTTCGCCAATCAGTTGGCTACCGGGGCGAACAAGTCCGGTTGAAGTTTTGCCACGACTAACTCCCCTCCTACGCCTCAGACGGCGTGCGCCGAGTGTGCCAAATTGACGCTAGGGGGTGCTGCCGGATGTTTTGAACCATTTCCGAACATGATTGCCGGGGACTGTGGGAACAGCTCAGTTTTCTACGCACAACTTCGACATGAGATAATGCAAGGCTTGCGCTGCCCCTGTCGATGCCTCCGCCTCGAACTGTACGTCCTCAGCCTCTGATAAGCAGTTCACACAGGGGGTAAAGAGGAGTTCTGTTTACTATTAGTAACAATAACGAACACGGGAACTGACATGAGAACGCGAAAAATACAGGCGCTTGACTGTGTACATGTGCATAACTGTGGCTGGGGGTCCTCGAGCTCCGGGCTTTGTCCGATTGACATGTGAATAATCTGGGAGAGAATGATTGAGTGTGTGTATGCGCGGGTGAACAAGGACATAAGCATTCAAGAGTGCATAGGTACGCATGGATTGAAATTACCATTCGTCAACTATTCGGAACGTAAACTTTGGAAGTTGTATCGCTGATGGAAGACACCCCTCTCCCGACCCCTCCCCCCTCTTTCCCTACCACCCCCAAAAGTTTTATGGACGATGTTTTGGTAGAAAAAACGCTAGAGGTAAAACCATGAAGGGGAGGGGATTGTACTGACGACTAGTCGACGCGGTGGAACACACGGGGATTCGTTCGTAGAACACAAAGACGACAACGGCTACTCAGGGAAGGGAAGGGGAGAAGTGTTAGGTTGCGTACAAATTACATTGTTCTGGGGATGACTTAAGTGGCATCAACTTTAAGTGTTCTAACCAATGGTGAGAGTAGGTCAGTGGGAGTGGAGGAGAGTTCGTGCAAAGTGGTTGGTCTGGAATAAAGCCTCACCTGTGCGTGGACAACTTGGCTTGTTCTTCTTCAACAACTAAACCAGACTTCAAATGACATTTAATAGGGGTGGAAGAAAAGGACCGGTTAGCCGAGTGTGATTTCACCCGTAAGGCGAAACGGCCTCCTGGGGTTTAGCTGTTGCGCTCAAAAAAGCATCATGGACCCTGAAGTAAACAGTGGCCATCAGGTGGGGTCAGAATGAAATGAACGAACTTCGAACCAGAAAAAGTACTCACATTTCCAGGGCTACGCCCTTAGTTCACCACCACCACCACCACCACCAGCACCACCACCACCACCACCGCCACCACCACCGCCGCCGCCGCCACCACCACCACCACCGCCACCACCACCGCCGCCGCCGCCGCCACCACCACCACCACCACCACCAGCGACAGTTCGACCGTCGACTCCGGCGACGTCCACGTTGTGGTACACACCAATTTGCAGCGGGCACGGCGACTTGCGCGTGAATTAGTTTGTGGTGATAGTAGACTTGCGCAGCATCTACCGCACTCTCTCTCCCCCACTCTCCAACTGGACCCGGTGTCACAACTGCGTCAAGAAGCCCCGAGGCGGGGGAGGACGTAGGTGGCTGGCTCCGCACAACAAATGACTAGGCTTTTGACCAGCAATAATACCCCAATAGGAGTCAGAAGGACGAGGATGATGATTGGGCAACCATGCCCACCACTTATACACCCAGAGGGAGCGCAAGCTCATCTACCGGCAGGGAACCAGGTGTCGGGGAACTGCCGACGCATATCAGGCTTCGAGGGCCACGTTGTGCTGATACTGGCATAGCACACGCTTTCAGACGTAACATCACCACTACCGCCG